GGCACTTACGTTAAAGTTTGCTTGCGAAGTTCCATGTCAGGACCGGCCAGGGGCTAGTGACCAGAAGCGACCCCTGGCCAACTTACACATTCTGAGTGTTTTGGACCTTGATGGGCCTGTGCATTGGGGTTTGTCAACAGTTGAGACTTGGAGTGACTCTGCAGGGCTATCGAGCGGTTCTTTTGAGAAACTTCTGCGTGATGGTGTGCCTCTGGCCTCTGGCGAGGGAGCGGAACAGCTTGAACAAAAGAGGCAGCAACCAATCTGCTGGCCTTGAATCCCTTGGAAATGACTTGCTGTAGAGCGTGTGGGGTCTGCATGCTAACCGCAAGCCATCTAGCTTGCAACCTCAACCCCGCAACCCACACCCGAAACTCCAAGCCCTAGCACCGCCAAAGAAAACCTGCATGAAAACGCCAGCAACCTGAAACCCCAAAACCATCTGAAGCTAAGCCGCAATCTTTAACATCTTAAATCCTGAGTCCTTAGCCCCCACCCCCCAAACCATACACCATCCACGCCAAACTCCAGCCCCTCAACCCCCAGACCCTAACGCACCGAAACGCCCCGACGCTACGACGATGCCTTCACCATGGCCTTCCTGGGCAGCAGCTCGGAGGCTCCCAAACGAGTTGCATTATTTGGGAAATATAGGAGTATATACACACATTTGTATATGAGATGTAGGAGTATATTACATAGATGTATATGTGTATGTAAATTTACATATATATATGTGCATATATATATATAGAGCATATATAGCAGGCCTTAAGGTTTAGGGTTTAGGGGTATATATATATATACATATTTAAGGTATAGTCTAAACTTCTTACAGGGTGGGATGTAGGGGATTGTATAGGGGAGTATTATAGGGGGTTATTAAGGGGTTGTAAAGGGTTGCGAAGAGTATGTGGGGTTGTATAGGAGTATATAGGCAAACAAATGGGTATAGGTAGGCTTTAGGGACTAGCGTAATAATGACATGCGCAGTCGAATCGGAAGGAGATTATATGGTTTAGGGCCCAGGGTTTAGGGTTCGGGGTTTGGGCTCTAGGGCTTGAGTACGGGAAAGGCACGGGATTTTTCCAAACCGATGCGGTTGTCCTTTGAAGGATTGCAGAGGGGTTCTTGTGGCTCCCAGATGCTTAGTGGGGAATTAGGGTTTAGGGTTCTGGATTATTGCAGGGTTACGGCGTGGCGTTTAGGGCTTGAGGTGTGGAATTGGAAGTGTTGGTAAAGTTGAGAAGAGGGGGAGTTGACTAGGGGCGTTTTAAACTTGAGACTCTACACTGGTTCTTAGTAGGGAATAAGGTAATATAATCCCTATATGACATATTCCCTCATTCCCTACTAGAAACTAAGAAGTTCACCGAGCCCGCCCCCAGATTGTGGTAAAAATGCCGAGATTCTGGAGCTTCCAGACCCCAAACCCCTGCACAGCCCCAACCACCCCAGCCCTAAACCTGAAAGCTTACATCCTCTAAACCCAAACCCCTAAACCCAGTTGCATCGAAGACGGCAGGTTCTACACAGGGAGAGGCATCACAGCCTCAGGAGCCGGGTCGGATGCTCTTGGTCCCTGGTGGTTAGTGTGGAGGATGCTGCAGATTTCCAGCTTCCAGGGGTAATCAAATGGAAAAATGGAAAATTAACTGGAAACTTGGCTTATATGGGGGATTATAGGGGTTATAGTCTAAACTCCTGGTATCCCCCTGAATAATGGAGAATGAATGGAAAAGAACATGGAAAATGAAATGGAAACTGCTATATACAGGGTTATGTAGGGTTATAGTCTAAATTCCTAGTATCCCCCTTAATAACCCCTATAGTACCCCTATGTACTCCCCTATGTAGTCCTCTTTAAGGTGTAGGGTTGTTGGGGGCTAGGGTGCAGAGTTAGCATTGGTGATTGGAGTTGTGAACGGCCGCGGCCGATCTGTTGGAGCTTCATCGGGGCGGCTTACTATTCACATATGCATATGAATCTTAATGGCGTGTAACCCTCATTATGCAATCATACTACAATCTACGCCCAAACCTCATTCAAATTATTTTCGCCCCTGCATTAGATCATGTTGAGACTCGCATACTCTCGGGCTCTTCAGGAACCGCATACATAGGGTCCACACTACAATCAGCAGTCTACTGAGCCATTCAAATTACTGTTTTTACTGGATCTCAACACCCTAAACCCTATACCCTAAACAACAATGTTGTGTTTCTGTGGGCAGTGCGCAGCAAACCCGGTCATAATTCAGAAAACAGTCGTGGGAGGTAAAAAGGGTTTAGGGCTTAGGTGTTGCCTGGCCCTGATGGCACCTTGGCCCAAGTGCAGGCAGCAAGTACTTAAGCAACCAAAAGTTTGTTTGATTATGCAACTTTGCTGAAAGGAATGCTTCAAAGGACACCTCTAAAAAGAATGGCTACCCTAGGACTTCTGGACCATCATGGTGAAATCCCAGCCTCTGCACCCAAAGCCCAAACCTTCCACAACATGCCCATGAGAATCCTAAGAGTATCAGGGTAGCTCTCTACGATTTTTTTGAATGAATAGACCTCTGATGGAGTCATGGGGCATGTGAGAGCGATGAGCCGTGTTTTCCTTGGAAATCATTTTATGTAGGAGATCTTGGGTGTTTCAGGCCCCTTTGTCGCCTACGTACTTCAGCCTTTTTTTCTTAGGGCTAGGCTGACAATCCTTGTTTCTGGATGCTTTTTTTTTTTTGAGTTCCCCCACGCATCAGGGCTCCGTAACATGTTTCAGTTCCATGCCCAAAGCCCTGAGTCCTGAGCCTTGCCCTAAACGGCTTTGGGGTTTAGGGTTTAGACTTTAAACCCTCAAAACACCAAGCCCTAAAGTAAAAACCTCAAGTTCAAACCCGAAACCCAATTGCCAGCATAGCTGCAGGATTTCCTAAACCCTAAACCCTAAATAGTAGCTTCCATTTTATTTTCCGTTCTCCCAATACAACCCAAATATACTATAGTGGTTTCCATTTGTTTTACATTGTCCCAATGTATGATCCCAACATACTATAGTAGTTCCCTTTTGATTTTCCATTATCCCAATACACCCCCCCAACTCTAAACCCTAAACCCTAAGCGTAGCCGCAGGAATCTGAGATTTGATGTCGCTGCGTCCGAAGCTAAGGGATAAGGTCCATTGGGGTATTAGGGTTATATTGGGGTAATATCGGGATGATGGCAAGGAAAGTACTATATTACATAGGGTTTTAGGGTGGTTGCAGGGTTTAGTGTTTAGCGTCAGGGTTTGTGGTTGAGGGTGCTGCGTTGTATAGGAATATATGGGGGTATATAGGGTTGTATAGGCTGGTATAGGGTTATATAGGGTTATATAGGGTTTTATAGGGTTTTATAGGGTCATAGAGATTGGATTTAGGGTTTAGGGTTCTGTGTTCAGGGTTCAGGAGGGGTGGAGAGTCGTAGGCGAGGGTGTGCTGTTCATGTCTTTTTTGTGATGGTTTCTTGAAATCATGTTAGAGCTTTGGATGGTAAGGGTCTGCAGAGGGACCCCAACTCAGAGAACTGCCCTTTGGAAATTCCGGTTCCTTTCTCTGTAATTTGCATGTGTGATTGCACAAGTGGACTAAAGGGGTAGTCCCTATTGAGGAAACACCTGTGACCCCCGGTGGATTGTTGCATAAGAATGGTGACTGCTGAGGCGTTCTCAGTCACACTAATAGCCATGTTCACGGTGAGCTGTGCAAGACAAGGAAAGCTTATCCCTAAACCCTAAACCTAAACCCGTGGGCGAGTCCTTCCTTCAGCTCTAGTCTCCTTGAAGGAAGTTACATGGGGGATCATGTAGGGTTTAGGGTTTGGGGTCTAAACTCTTGAAAGGGGGGTTGTAAAGGGGAGTATTCTGGCGCGTATTAAAGGGGATACTAGGACTTAAGACTATAGACTATAGCTGATTCGAGGAAGGCTTGGGGTGTGGGAGTATGAGCAAGGTGGAGCAAGGCTTAGGGACAAGAACTTGGGTTTAGGGTTGAAGGTTCAGGGTTTAGGGTTGAGGGTTTAGGGTTCAGGGTTTAGGGTTCAGGGTCTTGTTGAAGCTGTGGGAGTGTGAGTTACTTTGAGTTGTCAGACTACATACTGGGGTGTTGTTGCAGCTCAAGAAACATAGAGTTGGGGTATTCGCCCTTAATCCTCAATCACGGTCCCATTCTACGGGCCTTAAAGTCATCAAGGTGAGGTATAAGAACCTTCGAGCCATGGCGCGTGCCCGAGGTTTGCAACTGTTATCTCATCATCTGAAATGGTAGCTTCCAAAAAATAGGGGGACCCCAGTATAGACCCAAATATGCTATAATCCTTGTTGGGGACCCCCCAATTTGTACCCCTAATTTTGGGAAACCCCCAATATTTTGGGAAACCTCCAAGGATAACCCCCAAATTCAAGCAGGATTTCTTCGATTGTTTGTATAGGGGGCATCGCAAGGACTCCCCTAAGAGTCTCATGTGTTAGGTGCAAGCGGTTGTGACATTTCATACATTGAGCAGTATCCATGGTGCATGCCTTCAGTGGTTTCATGTATGAAGCCCTGAACCCTAAACCTTAAACCAAGATCGCTGATTGGCGCCGCTTTGGCATTGTACTTGCCTCTCCTCTGGCTCAACTTGGGGCATTTTCCAATTCAGGGTTCTGTTTCAGGGGGCCTCCAATGAGAATGATCCAGTGAGAACGAATGTGCTTTCTGAAAACAGTTTTGTGCTTGCATGTGTTGCATGTAGCAAGCCGCATAAGCCTGGCTTGACAAAGGACGTCTAGTTCAAGCCTTCAGATGCGCTTTTAATATTGCTTGTTTTGCGCGACTCTTTGGGCTTAAGACACTAATGTGGGCACTTGACGGGCTTTACGTTTGCATTTTTTGGATGGCTCATGACGCGGCCATAACATGATAAATCCCAATTTCGGATGAGAGTAGAAATGGCGCAGCTGAGATATGGTCCAATGATTGTTGGGCTCTGCGGAGATGACGCAGTCAGGCAACTCTTCAACTGGGCTTGGCTCGCAAAGTATTAGCAAGGATCATTGTTTCCATTGCTGCTCCGAACCCGCGAGCCTGTGGCAAGAGTGCAGCCACGGTAGCCGCTTCGCTTGCTGTTTTGCGTGTTCACAGCAAGTTGATCGCTGCCCTCAGTGTGGGCAACCTCTGTCGAAGCTAGGTGTGGCTCGCACATCCTCCTCCGAGGCTGAGCAGCACGCAGATGAGCAAAATGCCGAGCAGCAGCTGCAGCACAGTCAAACAAAATATGTGATCGTAATGGCCGTCCCAGTCTTTCTGGTTTATTATCACCGGCACTGGATCAGCAAGGAGGATTTGGCCAGCCGAACGGCTGACACACAGGCTGAGCACATGGACGGCAAAAACGTGTTGGTGTTTTGGAGGCACGGTACCGTAGCATTATTGGAGTGGATATTGACCAATCCGCATCTCGAGCTTGGTATCGTCAGTGGATCTATGGACGTTCCTTTCCTGTCCAGGATCATTTGCGCAGTCTTGAGAGATGGGCTGGGCTGGACAGATGTGTCTTGCCTTAACCCTCCCTGAGGATTTGGCTTTCACACAAGCTGCTGTCGCCAAATAGGTGAAGATTAACGCCAAACCTTAGCTCTCTAGACAGGGCGAATTGTCACGACTTCTCGCAACCCCCCCCAAGGATGCTGGCTTATCCATAAACGGCCCGAAACGCCCATATTTCAGGTTCGGGAACTGTCCTAAAACCTTGGGCACCTGTTTCCAAACACCAAGGCGTCCACGTAGGCAAGAGTTTAGACTCTCCTTCTACCCCGGATTCGCCCTAAATATCCGCAATTAGGGACCACATGCATACCCCTTTTTGGGGCGCAAGGAGGGTCCTTGTGGTTGGTTGTTGTATGGACCAAAATTCACCAACCTTCGTGCAATTCAGGGGTTCCCAGAGAGCGGACCTGTTTCCGTTTTTTAGGTCGATGTCTCTAGGGCATCCCGCATCCCAAGTGTCAAGTAAGCGCCATCAGGTGATTAGTTGCCGGAAAGTGTGATACAGCTAGCTTCAAACTAGGGAAGAGTTTCCTAAACCACCGGAAAAGGTGGAATCCAAAGCATGCAAGGGTCTTGAACGAACCCCCCAATGTCTTTGCAATTCTAGGCCACCCCGGGCAATCTGAGGAGTGTGTTCTACCTTTCCAGAAGTCGAATGGACGGGAACATCTGGTAGTCTTGCGCTTTTCTTCACATGGCTATTTCTTCTTGTTGGCAAGAGCATTCGGGGAAACCAACGTGCAAGTTTAGAAAATCGGCCTTTAAGCCTCAGCCCCGTGCGTAGAGCTACGCGGCATTCAGGCAACTTTCCAAAAAGGGTTCCTATGGAATCAGATGCAGTGCGCACATTGCTTTTGATAGTATCTGGTGCTGAAACTCAGGTGTCTTTCGATGAGCCTTCTTGCAGTGTCCAGGCTTCGGGATGCTGGATTCACTTGTTTGGACCAGAGTGCCGCTTGGCGTAAGAACTATTGCGCAAAAGCTGGCAGCGTTCCATGTTTTCCCGACAGCAAAGGCCCCGAATGGACATCGGGTCTTAAAATGTCATGGTCGCTACTTTCGCCCAATTTAATACGGAACCCCCCCAAAAGTCGCTATAGAGACGGCGTGAAAGGGCTACATGGGGTGGTGTGAACTTGTCGTGGTTTTTTCCGTCATCAGATTGCTATCTTCTTTTCCTCTGATAACTAGGGCCGCAGGGGCTTCAAAGTCGGGGCATGTTTTGGTTGGGGCATGTTTTGGTTCCTGTTATTTGAATTCTCGGCGTCAATTGTGGCGTATGAACCACAAAGCAAACCTGTTCAGCAGCAGCAGGTGTGGAATCTCACATGGGTGGCAGCCGTAAATTGTTGGCGCCCATCATGACGCGGTTGCCGGCATTCAGCGACGGCTCCATAATAATCCTCGAACGACATGGCCGCGATCTCGTTGACGACGAAGACTACGATCCTAACACGCTGTTGGTGAGGCCTTATGTTGAAGATATATGGGGTACTTGGGCCTGGGATGTTCCAATCGACAAGCAGATGAATGACCTCCAGGAGCGGTGGGTTGTGGCGCACACACGTGTCACCAAACTCTTTGGAACCAAAGCCAATCTTTGAAACTTGGCGAAAGACCTTTTGCCCATAATTTTGATGTCCCTAACCCAGGAGCTTTTCAAGAAGCTGGTTGCTGATCGCCCGGCTGACGTCCGCGGGTTTCTACGGCAGCTACGCTCGAGGTTCGAAAATGTTCCGTTTCATCCCAGTGCCAATTCCAGTAGCCCCCAAGGCGCCGAGGTAGACAATTGTAAGCACTCAACGTGAGAGGGGCAAGGGGGTTCCAACAAAGCGACTACTCGAGGTGCAGTGCACGTCTTCGGTGACAGTGGCAGAAGTATTGGTACCTTTCCGAATCTTTATTTAGAATCTGCAACTTTAAAGCTCTCAGACATTGGCATTTCTGTAGTTTTTGCTGTAGAGGTCCCAGCGTGGTCGCCGATCCCTTGCCCCGTGCCCCAACAATTATTCCTTCCACTGTTCTCATGTCATCCCCATGCCCTGAACCCTAGCCCAATCAAGTTGAACAACTTCAACCCTAAGCTCGCAAGCTTGAGCCCTAAACCTTGTAATTCGGAAGGACCGGCCTTGGCGCCTGAGACGAGAGCTTTTCAACATCAACCCTGGATGGGGATTCTCAAAAATCTGGTACCCTTAAAGGATCCTAGGTATATCTGGGGAGCACCAAGGGATTATTGGGGTCTCCATGACAGCCCATAGAAGTATGATAAAGCCCCCTAGGCCCTAAGGCCTAGACCCTAACCCTACACCCTTAAACCCTTAAACCTTAATCCCTTAAACCCTTAACAGCCAGGCCGCGAAAGGCGTACACAAATTTTTTGCAGGTTTAGGATTGTAAGGGCTGTTTCTGAGTGTAAGACCTTGCATTCTCCCACAAAACCTGGAATCACAAAGTGGGCCCCCAAAGAAAGGCCATTGCCCTCGCAAAAAGGGGCTTTTGACTACATGCTTGTTTCGGTAATTTGTTAGAGGTCACTGGTGTGCTATGATGCTACAGCGGTTGCGCCCATAGGCATACAGGACTGTCATACATCTTGGCTGCCGCCCCCGCCGGCCGACTATTTGAAATGGATGGGGTTTGCTGATGGGGTAGGAACTTAAATGGGCCTACGTCACTTATCCAAAGGCTGTGTACCGAGCGAAAGCTGGTGCCCCTAGCACAATGAAAATGTAAAATCTGATGGGGTCTAACAAGATTTGACATTTTCATCGCATATGGGCAAAGCCTGACACCAATTCACTGAGAGCGTAGGTGGGATGATATTACTAGATTCTATCGTCCTGCTGTTTTTTTGGGACGAATAGTTGCCGAGCAGGCTGGCCAGTATCGGTTGTTACTCTTTTGGTTGATCCTCCAGCTTTCCCTTCTTCTTTTCTGCCTAGCTCTTGCCTTCGTCCGTCTGCACCTTAATTACATGTTCTTGATCCTGTAGCCTTGGTCTACCCTGCTGGGAATCTTGTTGTGATTGCCATACCCGCAGGTAAGCATTAAAGTCTGAACATTGAGGTTCTTGTCAACCTCTCAAATTTGAGAACGTGTCACACTGACGGCGCAGAACGACGAAAACTTTATCCTTGTCGTCCTTCTCCTCATAACCTTGAATTTTCACTATGGGCTGCTTTCGCGCTATGGTAGTGAGTATGGTTACGAAGCCCTCACCTAGACTTCAAGCCTCGCCCTATACCCAAAAACACAGAACCCCAAAACCCCAAGTCGTCAACGCTTTCGGTCTGGCTCGGGGCAGCCCAGGTCCTTACCCTTGGCACGAAATGGCTTCGGGGAGGATGAAGAGGAGACGATTTTGGGGCTGGGTGGCCTCGTTTAGGGCGTCTGGGATGAAATCAGGGTTGTAGGGGGTTCAACAGAGATCATATGGGAGTTTGTATGAAGGGATATGTAATACAGGCGTCATGAAAGGCTTGTGTTATGCTTGGTTTGGTGTTGGGTGTGGTGGAAAGGTTGTTGGGAGGGTGACTACAGATTACAGTGGTTCAGATTTTGGTGAGGATGAAGTGGAGGGAGGCATGGTTCAGGAATTGGGCGCTGTACTCTACAGGTGATCGTTTGTACCTGGGATTTCTTCAAATATCCCCCCCATCCTCATTCTCACCATTTACTGTAGGCCCCTTCATGGAATTCATATCAATGACTCTATGTGAGCCCATTTTCCGATACATTTTTCATCCCATTTCGTCATTATTCTAGTTATTCCCCAACAGCGGATACGCT